CGTTTAAAATATTTTCTAACCCTGAAGTGTCTGTTTTCAGGGTTGGGTTTGAGTCCATACTCTCCAGCACATCCTCCCTCAAAACTTTGCTCTCTACCAACAGTGTGTAGGTTTTCAGGAGAGCTGACTCGAGGGCTCTGTCCTCTGGGCCCATTGTTTTTTGCAGCCCTGCTCGAGGTTAATTGAATTTTTGTGAATGAGCGAATGTTGCCAACCTCTAATGGCAGCTGCAGTCCTGGCACTGCTTTTCTGCAAAAGCTTCTGAGTCTCAATTTCATCTTTAAAAAGGGGAAAGCACTTACCTCACGAGATTGTATTGATGTTAAATGAAATACTGTGTGGAAATACTGAGGTATTTTCTATCTGGTAGTATTCATAGTATTTCTATTCCCCCTTCGGCATATCCTTTTCTCCTTTTTCCTTCCTTTCGTTCTCTATATTCAAGTTGAATAAATATTGTCAGTAGATAAGTAAATGTGTAGAGCCCAGTGCTTCTGAGAGTAGGAGGAGTTAGTTTCTTTGGGAGTCTAAATATATAAAGTAGAAGTACAAATGAACTTTCCATTCAGTGATCATTTCTATAGATTCTTCAAGAAATTCTGCCTCAATCTCCTGCCACCTTCTGGTCAGGACCTATGATTACATTCAGCTGTACCTTAAAGACTCTGCCCTGCAAAACAATTTGAGAATAGTATAATTTCTATCTAGGAAACAATTTCTCAGGGTAGTCTCTTAGGATTGTCTGACGTATATAATGCACTTAACTAGTTTTTGATAATAATAACTATTACTGTTTTGATAACTATTTTTGTAGCCCAAGGGTGTGGGCAGGAACAGCTTGGGGAATAAGTTCAGGGGTCTGCCCAGCCCTGCCCAGGGTCTTGTGCCTTGTGCTGTTCTCGGAGCCCCTGCATTCAGCTCTGTCCAGACCAGCTGGGTGCGGGGAGAATTAGTCATAAAGGATTAACATCCAGTGAGCATCTACTGTGTTTCTAGCCCTCGCTTGCCCCTTCCCATGCCATTCATTAAGTGAGCCCTCTGTGCTGGGTCCCGATGATATTGTGATGGATGAGAAATATTTGGCAATAGTGGCAGACAGAGTAGGTAGTAGAGGGATGTTGTGTAAACACAGAGGAGGGAATGGAGGAACCAAGAAACGTGATTCCTAGAACTATGGGGCTTGCAACGATTCCAGGCTTTCTAACACTGCCCAAGTCAGGTAGCAGTACACTGAGAAGTGCTAGGCTAAGATAAAAGCAGAAATCACTAGGCGTTTCTTTTGGGGATGGGATATATTGGGTAGAGACAGGACTGGTTGATTTCTCTGGTGTCCTCTAGTCTGTGAGGCAGCACAGAATATATGTACTGGTCCTTCAGATTGGAAAATTTACACAAAGTCCTAAAAGAAATTGAATCCAGAGTTGAAAATAATAGCATGGCTCAATTTTTCCTGTGGAACAGATAATGGAGAAAGATGAAATTGTGTCTAGAGTAGTTATCTCATTTGGCCCTCTTTTCCTTTGTATTTAGGAAGATGACTCTTCCTGTGAGTCAAGCAAAGAGAAGAGGCGAATTAAGAAAAAGATGTCTTCTGGGGGAGTTTTTGTGAGAAGATACTAATCAGTGGAATAACTTTAAATAAACTTGCTTAATTTTTCTTGTAAATTGATATAAATGTAAATCTATACAAATTCTCCTCAGAGTTCGTGTTATGTACGATTCCAATTCTGAAGGCAGAGATATGTTATAGTGTCAAAGGGATTGCTAAAATTCTATGCACTCAGCTGGGCTCCCCCTCCCAGAATATATTTTAATATATTTATGTAGGCAAGACTCTACATTTATGAGGAATTAATTTTACAAGTATTAACACAAACTTTATAAGTCTAGTAATTGAAAGAAAGACATTAAAAATTATCTTATTTTCTAGAGAGTATTATATTTTAAACTTTTCAAATGACTTAAAAAGCATCTGGAGTTGGGAGAAAATGCAAAATAAGATGAGTAAAAGGGCATCTTTAGAGTAACAACCAAACTACTCTGGAAAGTTTTATATAAAATAAAACTATGCTCTTGTAAAAGAAAAAAAAAACCCGTTATGTTTGCTAAAAATACTGATTTAAATAATATGTTTTAGGATTCAACCCATTTTTCTGTCTTGCAAGCTTTATAAGAAAGCAATATAAATATGAGGCCGACTGGACAGGATAATATACCCATGGCTTATTATTCTCTCTTCCCTCCCCCTGCTGTTGCAGACCAAAAAACAACAGGATTTCGTTTCAGTTCTGACTTCATGCCCTCCTTTCTAACTCTACCCACTTCCTCCTCAATGTAGCCAATTTGTGACTTGGGTGGTTGTCTGGATCTGCCTCCCTGTGAAAGGCAGCCGCCTTCTCTCCACACACCAGACTGCCCACCCTCTGGGCTCTGGCACGTACTTTCCCTGAAAAGCCATTCTGATGTAGCATCATTGGGACCAGTTTGCCCAGACGTGAGCGTGTTTGCACGCGAGACCAGTTTGGGCTGGTCGGGGGTCTGTAAGCAAGTTTTTAAAAATGCCTTATCAATTCTTTTTGATAACCTTGATAATCAGTATTGTTAGTTTCTCTGTGGTTTGCAAGAGGCCTTCGATCTGTAATAAAACATTTATTTGATACTTAGTATGGGTTAGTCCTGTGCCCAGTCCTGTCCACGTATTATCTTGTAATTCTCAGCACAGCAGTAGGAGACAGAGTTTACAGATGGGATTTGTGCAGAGTCATGCAGCACAGTGGAGCCAGGATTCTAACCTTAGTGGGGGAAGTTCAGAGTCTGCAATCTTTTTTTTTAAAGGATTTCTCATTTCTTTTTTAAAGATTTTATTTATTTATTTGACAGAGATCACAAGTAGGCAGAGAGGCAGGCAGAGAGAGAGGAGGAAGCAGGCTCCCCGCTAAGCAGAGAGCCCAATGTGGGGCTTGATCCCAGGACCCTGAGATCATGACCTGAGCTGAAGGCAGAGGATTTAACCCACTGAGCCACCCAGGCGCCCCCAGAGTCTGCAATCTTAACTACAGGAATCCCCAAATCCAGTTTCTCACCTCCTGGGATTACACACAGCCTTCCATCCAGCCTGGTGACCCTAAAGTGAATCCAGGCCCCATCTCCAGTCTCTCTACCAGTGCAGTAGGAAATAACTAGAAGAGTGTTGTCACAGAAGCATGCATCCTTGAAGGAAGAGGTTCCCTGGTTGTCCCCCAGTGCCTTTTCTCCTTTTTCCACAGTGTTAGGAACTACCTGGGCTTGTGGCTGCTCAGGATAAAAGCTGACGTCCCAGTCTCTCTTGCAGCTAAGACACCAAGTTGTGGCCAATAGTGTGTGAGCAGAAACAGTGTGTATATAACCTCGGGGTCATGACCTTAAAGGGAAGGGGCTTGCCCACATCTTGTCCCTTTCCGCTTCTGGAATGTGAATATGGTGGTGAGTCATTGGACCCTGTGAATGAGGGCAACACCAGGGACAGCAGGACAAGAAGATAAAAAGGATCCTGTGCGTGGATACCTGGAGCTGACACACTAGCCTGGGAATGCGTATACCTAGACTGTAGGTAAGTGAGAACGTAAACCTCTTTGTTCTTTTTTTTTTTAAAGATTTTATTTATTTATTTGACAGACAGAGATCACAAGTAGGCAGAGAGGCAGGCAGAGAGAGAGAGAGGAGGAAGCAGGTTCCCTGCTGAGCAGAGAGCCCGATGCAGGGCTCGATCCCAGGACCCTGGGATCATGACCTGAGCCGAAGGCAGAGGCCTTAACCCACTGAGCCACCCAGGCACCCCAACCTCTTTGTTCTTAAACCATTATTATTCTGGGTCAATTACAGCCACTGAATCAAAATTGTAATACAATCCTGAAATTATACATATTTAATCATAAATCACATATATGTATTATTGTCCGGTTATGCAGGTGTTATATAACATCCTGTTGTGTGTCCTGTTATGTGGTGTTTCCCCACCACAACCAATTCTTGGATTTTCTGGACACCATTTGGGTGTTCCAACATTTCAGTTCTGACACTAACTTTCCAGTTAGCGTCCGACTCCACAGCTTGAGCTCAGTCCCAAAAGAATGTCGCCACTTCAGACACCCTTTTGCAAGTCCCACTTTGTCACTGATACTTCTGACTAATCAGCAGTTCAGGAAACCCCCCTCCTCAGGTTCCAGTTGGTTGGAATGACCAGTATAATAGAAAGGATATATCCCAGGAACAGCCAAATGGAGGAGATGCAGATGGCAAAGTGTGAGTGAGAGGTGCATGGGGCTTCCATGACCTTCCGTGTGCCACTCTCCGAGCACCCTGACGTGTTCCTTGGATTGGCCAATGGGAACTGAACTCAACCTTCAGCTCCTCTCCTGTCTTCTCCCTTTCCCAGCGGTTGCGTTGGGAGGTCAGGGAGGCTGAGAGTTCCAGTCTATAATAACGCCTTGGTCTATCTGGCAACCAGTCCCCATTCTGAAGTTTCAGAAGGGCTCCCAGCCGCATGTCCTCTCAGCATACAGAATACACACTTACTATTCAGGAAATCTGGAGGATTTTAGGAGTTTTGTGCCAAGAAAACAGAAGCTTGTAACTACCCCTATCAAGAAAGTGCAAGGGTTTTAGGAGATCTGTGCCAGAAATTGGGGACAAAGACCAAATATATATAGATCTCTATATATTTCCACATTATGTTTTTTACACAAAAATTGGCGTGAAGATGTTAGATGTAAGTACAAATGTTTTCCCCCATGCCTTAGTTGTTTGTGCATCTCTTAACACAGAGGCCTCAACTTGTAGGTGACGAGAGCCCCGAGTAAGAAAGAGCCTGCCTGGCATATGAAGACTGTGTGTCTTGTCTGCTGTACAGCCCTGGCAACCATGGTTGTAAGAAGTTACAACTGGGTGACCTCAACTTCATTTAGCTTGTTTTTTCAGCTGCAAAATAAGGATATTACCACCCACCTAAGAGGACTGCTTTGAAAAAAAGAAAAGGTGAGCTGGCACAGATTATTTAGCACATTCCCTCTTGTACAGTCAATAGCAGCTATTATTCAACAACGACAATCACTAAGTTCAGCGTTGGTGACACTGCTTTTTCCATTGCTTGGGTTTTTTCTTTATATTAAAAAAATACTACATACTGTTAAATATTCATGTATCTAAATTCTTGAAGACTGACAAAAATGGGAATTATAAACTTTGATTTATTTTTCAAATACGGTGAAGAAAACCCTACTGACTCTTGACTGGTCCTTATATAATCCTGCTTGGTGTACTTAGTCACCAAGCAGAAGTTTACTGAATTTAAGTGAATCATTAAAAAAAAACCCACCTCTTCATTTTATGTAATAAATTTAAGATGGGTCCCTAAGAAGCAGGGATAAACTGGTATTTGTGAATTCAAAAATTTTTAAGTATATGTAATAATCAGAGCTCAAGATATAGCAACTCGAAGATTTCATACCAGGTGTCCTACAGTTGCACTAGGGCACACATTATTTTAAAGTTCCTTGTTTTAATTTACTACCAAGAAACCCAATCTCCATATATGGTAAGTTGCCTTGAAAATCCAAGCAACTTTGTTAGAACAAGATTTTATTTTTTATGAAAAGGTAACTGTGCAGTAGTTACCAGGGAAGCTGAATACAATAACAAGGATGTAGGCTTGGGAGTAGTTTTTAAATTTGCAGCAGACATCAAAGAAATCCTAAATGATACACATTTGTTCAAGCAAACACAAGAGAACTCTGGATCAGTTTCTATGAACTATGAAAGGGATAAAGACAAAAAGCCTCTTTATCTCAATCAGGTTTTGAATGACAGCTTTTCAACATAATAAAATAAAGACACACACAAAACACCAACTCAAAGCATATCTTACCATTTAAAAATATTTTTTAGTCCATATGTACTCTGAATAATCTTGTTGTATTGAGTATCTGCTGCAACTTCTGTGTTCAGAGTAAATGTAGCCTGGCGTAGTGTTCTCAAGTCCGCAGCAGCAGCAGCATGCTATCCTAGTTTCTCAACTATTTCCAGATTCTGTAAAATCCCAATGCTATTGCCAGGCAAGTAAACACTGAGGCTGTGAAAAGATACCATGTTATGGATCACGCATTTGATACTATTTTGCAGAGACAAAGGCAATACTGTCATCTTCAAATTAAACGAAGAGCACAAAACAAAGGAAATCCCACCAATTTTCTACCTTAAGTGTTTTGTTCCCAGAAAAATTATGCTAGGGATAAAGTATATCCTTTAGGGCATGATAAATACCAATTTTAAAAAGCTTCCTATACTTTAAACCAGAATAAGGATGACAGTTTACAAATTATGTCAGTTAGAATCTATAAATAGTGCTTCAAGTCATTAGCATTAACATTAACCATGACTACTTTTAAGTAATTATGCAATCTAATTTTAGATCTTATAAGTGAGAAAACCTTACCTGTATTAAGAAATGATGTAGTTAAGCTAATAAAATAGACATCCATATCATCCAAAAAAGTTTGCCTTTTCAGTACATTTAAAAACAATTTCATGATTATAAAAAATTTATACATGAAATTTTAATGAAAATCCTCTAAAAAATTACAGGTAGAAGAAAAGGCTTTTAAAGTAGTTAATATGCCACTGCTCTTTTATATATGGACATTTATATATGGACATTTTATATATGGACATTTTGAAAACTTTTGGTTCTCCCTCAAACTGAATCTGGGTGAAGCTTTTAGGGATTCCCTAGTTTCTAGTTTGTTTAAACAGCCGTGACTTTTAAAATAGAGACCCAGAGATAAATCACAAACTTTTATGACTAAAGATTCAAGAAACAGCCTTCCATAGAAAAGCGACTGTAATTTAAACACATAATTCCACACATTATCTTATTTGATCCTAATAACTAATTGAAATTTGGTTAATGACAAGGTCATTTTTTTTTTCATTTCCTTAATTTTAAGAAACGGGATTAGGTCTAAAACACTAAACATAGTGTTTAATGTTTAAACACTAATTAGTGTTTAATTAGGTCTAAAACACTAAAACATTAGGTCTAGGGAGGCTGGATATTGAGGAAAAAGAGTAACATTTAAGTTTCTTGTCAGTTACACACTCTGGTCAATTATACATTCATCCATTTGATCCTGATACTCTTTACCATGTTCCATGGCAGTGTGCTGAGCAATTACATACATTACCTTATTTAACCACAGTTAAACCATGTAAGATTGGTGATATTATCCCCTTGTAGAGATAAGGCAACAAGTCCAAAGTTACAAACTGCTGGCAAGTGGTGGAACAAGGACTCAACATTATGTGTACCTGAGTCATTGTTATTGTTTAAAAACCATTCTGTAAATCTTATCCCTTGCCCGAACTGAAGGATTCAATCTGATTTGTCATTTCTTGAGCCATATAGTGTTGTGTAGGTGGTTATGTTCTCTGCTAACCCAGACAGCTGATAAATTTTCTTTGCCTACCAAATAAACATTTATTTACTGTGAAGAAGGAGGCATTTCAATCATTTTTAGAATATATAACACAATGGTTACTATATTGAAGTTTCTGTTGTGAGTGGTTACCATGTCTCATTGGTGTTATTTTGCTACCCAGGCTGCTTTCCCCTTTGTTGTTTACCTTTCATGGCCTGTCAAGGACACATCCCTACATAGGATGCTCAGGTGAGCATGTACATGGTACCTCATAAGTGCTCTGTAATGTTAGCTTGTCTTCTTACTTGTCTGTTTGGAACAGAATCTGCTGCATTAACTATGCAGATCACAGGGAATGACCATTATCTTACAGCTCTTATCTCCTTGGCAATAGTGACTTGGGTCAAAGAGTGGTGTCTGACTCCAATAGAGCCATTCACACACCTTCCCAGGGATTTTCTGAATTGTAAATAAGGAAACCGATAATTTTTCTTGGTTGGTGAAACTTGAATCATAGGAGTCTAGAAGCTACTAACAGTCATGTTTCCAATGGAGGGAAAAAGATGGCATAAGAGAATGAGGCAGATATTCAGAGACAAGATACAGAGTAAACTGTGATTCCAATTATCTCTAATTCTAATTATCTGAGGTCAAGCTGTATCTATCTCTGCCCTTCCATAATTCAATATGTAAACTAATACATTTTCTTTTTATGCCTAAGTTAGTTCAAGTTGGATGTATGATCACTAAAAGTAAGAGTCGTGACTGACAGATGCTGGGAAACCAAATAACCAAACTGATTACAATTTATAATTTTATAGGGATTTCTTCTCTAAGGAATTCCCAAGATCTTGAATGCTGGGGCTTTATTAGTATCTTTTTTCATTTCCCCCCTCTGCTCTTGATTAAATTCAGTATGTGCATAAGTGGAATATTACTGTTTTCTTGGCAACATCTCAGGTATTCTACACGCAATGGATCCACTCATGATGTTAATTTACCACCAAGAGTATGGGATTTTAACTTCCTAAAAGGCTTAACAGTACAGCAGCAATAACAGATTTGAAGGATAAGGTAGCAGAAAGAAAATGCCTTCAAATGGCTGGTTGCAAATCCTTTGTGAAAAAAGGAAAGGAAGTAAACTCAGAAAAAGTATTTTTGTAAACAATGATGTATTAAATTCTTTTGTCACTGCCACTTAATTCTATTCAATTCTGCCTTACATTCAGCCACTACTGAAAGAAAGCTTTCTGGAGACCACCATCTTCAAACTGAGGGTAAAAGGGACTTTAAGAGACCCATCTAGGTAAACACTCTAGAGTCAAGTGAGTGGAATCTGAGGCTCCTCCTAACCTGGGCTGCTCTGAGATCTATTTTGAAAATGGGAATGAATACTGCAAACTGGGCTATTTTGTAACTTCCCCTGAGCATCACCAGTGAACTGAAGATCTCTGGTTCCAGAGACTTTGCTAGAATAGTCGTTTTCAAAACTTACTTTAGCCTTAGAACTCTTTTTCAAATGAATCTTCAACAGAAGCTAGGTATTTTAAAAAGATAAAATATGTTAAAAGATTCAAGTTGAAGAGAGGAAGGGGAGGTATTATTAGCTGAAGGCTGGGGGCTCCACATTTACTCTCAAGAGGCTGCCCAGAAAACCACTGACGGTATAATCAGTTTTATTTTGGACAATTCAGTAATATAAACCATTTTATATGTGCATATCTTTTGGTCCCCCAACTTTAGATGTTCCTGAACAATTATACAGAACTACTAGCATAAGGGCACAAAGATATGTGTGTGTGTGTGCGCGCGCGCACACATGCGTCACACACATGACTGTTGGGTACAATATCATTTCTAATAATGAGAAATCAGGAGCAGAATGTTTGCTAACAGAGGTCTGGAGAAATTAGAGCATTTTCATACAATGGAATACTTTCTAGTAAAAAGATACATATGTACAGATATGCAAAGAAACTCAAAACATTTGGTTAAATTTGAAAAAGCTGTGGTCTGTATAATACAAATCTAGTTATTACTTGTAATAATCTGCAATACTTATATACAGAAAAAAAAAGCCTAAAAAGAAATATATTCTAATAGTAAAACAGAACTTTTTATAAAAAGAAAGAAAGTACTATGAAAATAGGGCACTCTTCTCATTCCTTTGGGTCCTGTAACTGGGTCAGGTCACAAGGTACTTGAGCTCAGTATGTGACAATCTAATTTTTGGGTCTCTAATATTTGTGCTCAGCTGGATTCAAAGTAAAAGGTAATTTTCCCCCTATGCTTGCCATGGTTTTTGCCACTGTTTTAGTGACCTTTTTCTGTAAGTCCCCTTAAATCCTTATGGAAGAACATAGGAATAAAAGTAAAATTTTCATTTTGTTTCCATTATGGAACAACCAATTTATTTCTGTATCACTTCGTACTTGTATTTATGTATTTCTTTGATATCCATATGCCTTTTCCTATTAGTAGGTTGCAGAATCACCCATTAAACTTATATCCTAAACTTAGTGCTGTTAAACTTCTATTCTTCCAGCACGGCCCAGTGATAAAGGAAACGTGTTCTAGATCCTCTTTTTTTTTTCTTTTGTGCTCCATGGTTACCCTGGGAGATAGGAGCTAACAGGTTTCAATATCAAATGACAACAATTACTTTCTCTGACAAAACATTAAAAGGAAAACCAGGGGCCCCAAATGGGATCACTTAGGCCAAGTCCCCAGACTGGAACTTAGTATCTGACTGTAGTTTGAATCTTAGTGTGGTCTTAACCAGTCAGCCAGGAGTTTTGTGGATCAGCAACAAGTCTGCCACATGAGTCCTCTCCATCCCCCGCAAGATGATGTAATCTGCAAAAGATTCCCGGCTCTTCCACTAGGGGAAAGTGACTGCCTGGAATAATCCTTTTGCTGATAACCCACTTGCTCCTCTCTCCTTTTCACCTTTTTTCCCCATTAAGTTTTATTTAAGTAATCTCCATACCCAATGTGGGGCTCAAATTCACGATCCCAAGATCGAGAGTCACAAGCTCTCTCAACTGAGCCAGCCAGGTACCCCAAAACCGTACATTTTGTACAACTCCTGGGAGTTCCCCTCTACTGGCTAAGTAAGATGCTGCCCAATTCAGGAAAGATTTAATACAGCCAATTAGATCCTCAAGTTTACTCAGGTTTTTTTTTCTTTTTTTTAAACAGAATTGGCTGGCAGTGGTGGGATCTGAAGCAAATATCTATTGGCATTTAGGAACAATGAGAAACACAGGTATGGCACCCTGCAAATGCTGAGAGTTCACGGTCTTTCTTGCCATATGGGGGCCTTTGCTATGTCAGTTTCAGCTCTGCTTTCTGGGTTCAAGCTACCCATCTAATTGGTGTTCTACTCCAGGCTTGACGACGTAGTCTAGACTAACAAAGGAGGCTCTACTGGAGCACCAATCCTCAGCCCTTGGTTCAGTCTATGATTCCATGTTGGAATCCTTCCCCTAAATCCTTACTGAGGTTTACTGGTTTAGTCCTTTCCTCATTTCTAGTCCACAGTCCCTGAATGAAGTCTGCTTGAGTCCAGTTTGGGAAGTGCTGGTGGTACGCATGGCCTCTTGGACAGTCTGCAGTGACATACTTTGGATACTACTGCTCGTGTGCTGAGGTT